GCATTATGGTAAGTTTCAAAGCGCAACTGAATAAGAAATGCAATGTCATAATTGCTCAATAATTTATCAGATTTATTAGCCCATCGTAACACTAGCTCTTTAGCTAATGTACTCTTTCCTATGCCAGGCTCTCCTTCAATTAGTACAAACTTTAATTGTTGCTCTGATACTGGCTTTAATATATCCTCAATTTTAATTTTTAATTCATTTTGAATAATATCATTAGGAGTTGTACTGAGTAACCATTCAGCAGTTGATTTGGTGACATTTTTAACTACAATTGATATTAAAGGTATGAATGGAACATGTGGACCAGCTGTAGGATATTTATTATATTTTGCATCCTTATATTTAGTTAAAGTCTCATTGTATTTCTCACATAGCTCTGACCCATACTGTTCAATCACTACTGGTATTGATGTACGTGAATCAGGAGGTGGTGAACGTACAATTATAAATACTAAAACTGCTATTATTATAACTGCTACTATATACATACGTGAAGGCATACTTTCCGTAGATTCTGGGGGAGTAGGGGTAGGGGTAGCTTCTGGTGGTCTCTGTGTGGCTAAAATGAAAATATATTATCATAAAATCCTTGCATTATATAATAGCTTAATACTCATCAAATCATGTGCGTATAACTCACTGTTTTTGATCCTTTGTTCAAGAGACTTCTTGTAGTCAAGAGCTTGTTTCCTTAACCCCTTATTTTCAAGTACTTCTATAAGCTGTCTCCTAGTTGCTTTTTCTGCTTTAGAACCCAGCCACAGCTGGTACATACGACTAAGTTTGTATTCTCCACTGTGCTGGGAAAAATAAATTTCGTTGAGTTTGTTTGAATTCACACCCAACCTTCCACCAATGTCATACCAGTCAGCAGTGAGCGGCAATTCGTTCAAGAGCTCTTCCAAGTCAGGGCTAGAATCAAGAAGACATTCCATTTCTGCAGAAAGCAGCCACTCCTCCACATTGTGCATGTGGGCGGTGCTAGCTAGAGACCACGTGATGCACAATGCCTCTCCCAAGATGTTTCTTTGATATTTCCATTAATTCTGTTCCTTGTAAGTCTAATATACTTTATAATCTACTCATTTCTCTCCTTTAGCTGGGAGGATAGTCTTTGAACTATTCGTTAACGATGCA